ACACATATTTTTTAGGTTTGACTCCTTCCTCTTTCTTATGTCTCGTATCCTCAGAATCCAGACTTACAAATAAAGATAGGGTTGGGGTGTCACCCTTATTTGTTAAAAAAAAAAACACACCAGTACCTCGCCCGACTATCAAAGTCCGAGCCTCGGGCGACTGGTAGCCCGATCATTGTTGAGCCTCAGATTTTATTGTCGAGCCTCGGACTACCAGGAGTATATGATGGAAGAAGAGAAGAGAAAAACACGAAAAACAAACAACATTCTGCAAAACAAAAAACAGAAATCAGACATGCTCAATGAGAACGAATCTTCCTCGATGAAGAGGAACACTCATTCTTGGTGGGACTTTCACACACACACACACACACACACACACACACACAGACACACAGAGGAAGTCAGACAAATATGAAGCCGAGTTTGGTGCGTCAACTTAAAACTCAGTGTCAGACACTCCATTGTGTGACCCCACTCTCCGAATGTGCAAAATGAGAATAAACTCGCCGGGAGAACATGAGTAGATGCACCCACCACAATTTTGTCTTCTTCACATTTATAAAGTGGTGTGGAGACGCCCTCTCTCTCTCTCTCTCAGTGTGAACGTCCCACCGAGAGCGAATCTTCCTCGATAAAAAGAGGACGATTCGATCTCACTGGGACGTTCATAGAGAGAGAGAAAGAGAGAGAGAGAGAGAGAGAGAGAGAGAGAGAGAGAGAGAGAGAGAGAGAGAGAGAGAGAGAGAGAGAGAGAGAGAGAGANGAGAGAGAGAGAGAGAGAGAGAGAGAGAGAGAGAGAGAGAGAGAGAGAGAGAGAGAGAGAGAGAGAGAGAGAGAGAAGGTGTCGGGTTTGGTGCACCGAACTCGACGCCAGACACTGCATCGCGGGGCTCCATTCTCGAAATGTAAAAAATGAGAATGAACTTGCCGCGAGAACATGGGTAGATGCACCTACCACATTTTGTTTTTTTCATATTTCGAGAGTGGTGTGGCTACGCTCCCTTTCTCACTTTCTCTTTCTCTCTTTCTCTTTCTCTTAGAGTCTCTCTTTCTCATTTTTCCGCCTCCCCCTCCCCCCCCCGCCCTGCAACCCCCGTTTTTATTTCCGCTCGTTATTTCTCATTTTCTTTGACCTTGTTTTTTCTTTTTTTTTGGGAATACGGTTGTTTGTCGCTAGCGACGTTAAATACCCTACTCGACGCGGCACATTAAGGGCCGCGTCAGATTTATAGAGTTGGGCGAGGTACTGGTGGTTTAAGATAAAAAATGAAAAAATGTGAGAAGGTTGATACTAAGATTTTCCTCTATTTCGAGAATAAAGTTGCAAATAACTCGTCACTCTTCATGCAGTTTCTTTCTCTCAAACTTTAGAAGAAAAACAACAAAGTTGTTACTCATCGTATGCCCTAAACGCCTATAATTTCCGGAGAATAAAAATGAAATTGATGCTCATTGTATAATCTGGTCAGTAGGAAATGTGAGGATGAAAAATTAGTGAAAATATTTTGTCTCTCGTTATGTGACCTAGTCTTCTTAACTTCTAGAGAAAACAAGGGCATGCCCACTGTGGCTCCGCATGTGATAGAGATTTGTTGCTCCTCCTCCCCCTTGCTCTTTGACATTGTCCGCCATCTCCTCCTCTCCATGATGCTCTTGCATTTGCCCCCTCTTCGACTATTTCCTTCTCATTTGCCGTGTGCCCCTCCTGCATATGCCCTTCTTACTTATCCCTTGTTTGATTATTATCAAGTATCAAATCATGGGTGTGGTCATCACAATTATCATCATTATATTTTTTTCGGTGCTCTCCATGAATTCGGATTTTTCTTTCCGTTCTTACTTATGTAAAACCTCGTGGGTCATCTCGTCACTCTTCTTCCCACTTTGCTCACCATCATTTGCCTAATGATGGGTGTCGCCAATATGATCATCACTATGATCTTCTCTGTCTATGATCATGCTCACACCATCATCATCACGACCAGGACATCATTTTTGACTTCTGACTTTTCTTCCCGCTCGTACTTTTGGTCGACCCTCTTTTGTCATCATCACCTATGGTCATCCCGTCTGTTTTTTGCCCTTTTTCACCCGATCATGGGCGTGACCAGCATGATGATGATCACCATGATCTTCATTTCGGTCATCATTGTCTCCCCGATCACGGATGTGGCTGTCATGATGATCATTATGACCTTCATTCTAGTTCCGTCGATGATCATCGTGGGGTTAACGAAACATTCATCAATATTATTTTTTTTTCTTTCTTTGCTTTAGACATACTCACACACATTCACTTCCCTTTCATGGCCGCACCCACTCGTGTCACGATGTGGTCTTTTGTGGGACGTTGTGAAAAAATAAAAACGAACTGATGAAAAAAAAAAAAAAAAAAAAACTCAGAGTCCCGCACCAACTATCTTTGTCATTCTTTCCTCTATCCTCCCTCTTGCTCGCTCCATCACCATCGTCCATCCTTTATCCTTCCTCTTCCTCTCTCCATGCTCCTTCTATCCTTCCGCCTCTTCCTTCTGGTGACTGAAAAGACAACACACAATCACGTAGAATTTTATTTAGGTTTCGCAATTAATAAATATTAGATGATGCAAATCCCTTCCTGTTATGTACGTCCGGTTTCGAGCGAGGCCCTTCAATTACAGTCTACGCCGGTCCCCAATCTTATGATTTTTTAATTATGATTCAGAACAACTAATGCAATTAATAAAATTAAAATTGAATAAATCATATGCATATTAAGATAGCAATTTAAAAATTTGAGGACTGTGACAAGAGTAACAGAGAGCATAACGTCAATCAATGCCCATGAAGGAAAAATAAAGACTGACTTGACTCAAGACACAAATAAGATGAATGAGAGAAAACGATAACTCATAATAATATCAAGAAATACAAATGGAAAGATATGGTCAAAACTCGTCAAGAGTCCTCACATATCCCCTTCGAGTTTCATCCTCAATCTTTTTTTTGACTGCATGTATAGAAACCAAAGGCGAGCATAGCACAAAACTCCTAAGACCGTGGCCTAACGATACAAAACCACCTAAAACCCATGAATTTCGAATAGATCCATCCAAGGTCAAAAATTCGAAAGTCGAGCATGGCACAAAACTCATTGCATAAAATAAAAGGATTTGGCATGAAGAAGATCCTCGCTTAAGATGGCCGATTCCAGAAGGCTCGGTCACTCCCTCATAATTAATATGAGCTGGAGAGACGTACCTCTTAGCCAGGTTAACCAAATCACCCCTGTAAGAACCATCAATAAGGTAGAGAGGGACCGGAGGCGTAGGATAGTCAGTGTATAACTTGGCCTCAAAGTTATGCATCAACTTTGAGTTCTTATGAAGCACACGTGCTCCATGTATTACCTGCGGCCGCGACCGTGGGGTCGACCTCGATGGGGGGTCGAGATAACGGTTGCCACGACTCTGACCACGGTTGGATGCGGCCCCGACTTTCAAATTGTTTTTGAGACAAAATTAAAAAAAAAAAAAAAAAAAAAAAAAAGTTGTAAATCTTTTTGAGATCTACATTGCACAATTTTTTTTTTTTTTTGACTTCAACACCGAATTCATGAAAACCTAACAAAATGACAAAATCTAACATTTTTTATAGAATGAAAAAGTACAACTTCAAACTGTTATTTTTGACACATAAAAAAATAATATTTTTAACTGTATCCCTAGAAAGGATGCAAAAAAACGGGCAAAAAGTCTAGCAATTCTTAAAATATGCAAGAAAATCATTTTTAGCAAAGAGCGTGTTATAATACTATAAATTGCTCTTAGTAGATTGACAGAAAACAGAGCGTAAACAAGACAATCTTAAAAAACTCGAAATATGTAAAAAAAAAAACCGTTTTACTGAATACTCGTTTATGGAAGTATAAGTCATTTTCAGTACTTGGTAAGAACCAAAATCTGTGAAAACTAATTTATAGATCTATAAATCATATAAATCACTTTTTGATCCTACTGTAAAACCCTTATCAACAAATATACGTTACGTAAAAGACGAATTCAAACAACTTTTGCCTCGGAATCATCTTCAAATTCTCAACCAACCACGATCTAAAATAATAAAATAATAAAATATTTTAATAAAAAACAATATATTCGTCATTGTATAATAGAACATATTCAAGCGAACGTATTCGTGAAAAGGACAACATATGGTGTGTTTGGGAGACCCTCCAATACGTTCATCGTGTTGCATACCTTATAGAACTATAAATATAATTTCTTTAGATAAAAAAAAAAATCAAATATTTTAGTTCATGAAGAAACAATTTTTTGGGAGCCTGGGAGGTAGTGATTTTCTGTAAAAAAACCTGCTTTTCTCCTCACCACTTCGAGTGGTTTTGAAAAAATAATTTTTTATTCCATTTTTCGCGGATCTTTAACTTCACCTAGATATTTGTTGATGTATGAGGCCTAAAAAACGTACTATGAGAATCCTTGAAAATTTTCGTGCAAACCTAAAAATTTGTTTTGTTTGGTTTTCCTTTGTTCTTGCCAAACTACGTTATCGAAGCGTTGCTTTGCGGGGATCAACGGTGTGTGTGTGTGTGTGTGTGTGTGTGTGTGAGTGTGTGTGTGTGTG